CTTCAATATTTTCTTTGCACACTTTGACAAGGGTCTCCCAGTTCTTTAAACAAGATTCAATAGAATCTGTCACTGTGTTCCATCGTGTGTCTGATGGCATTACTAGCATTGTTCCTCCTGCTCTTCTATACAAAGATCCTGGGCTGTGATGATTTCTGAAGAACTTAATGATCTCAGTAATGTGCTCCTTAATGTTCTTGATTTGCAGGTCTTGTGAAAGCAAATTTAACAGGTGTGCAGAGCAACCATATGTTATAATGGATTTATCTTGTCCGAATTCACTTCTCATTTTTGCCATATTAGCAGCATTATCTGTTACACAGCTTACTGTGCATCCAAATTTGTCTTCACACTTTTTTGTAGCACATTCAGCTAATTTCAACAGATATTCAGCTGTGTGTCTTGATTCTGTGTCTATAGAGTCAGCAAGATAAATACGGTTGTCCGCTGTTAAAGTTATACATACTATAGGCTCATTATGGATATTACTCCATCCATCCATGGCCATGTAACATGTTTTCCCACTAAGTTCTTCTGAATAATTCTTAATCACTGAATCGTAGGCTTGATCCAAAAGAGACCCTCCAATTTGATGTCTTATTAGGTGGAACATATCCTGGTCTTCGCATTTTATTCATCTTGATAAACTCTTCGTGCTCCAATGTTCGGAAGGGCGAATTTGTTGCATATATATAATTAGCAACGTGCTGATCCAGTGACTTTTTCAGACTTAGTAGTTTTTATCACAAAACCAGTTATGCTTCTTTGATCAGAAATAATACTTATGTTGTTTAAAAAGAACATACTATGTGATAAAATAGAATATCTGAATATGTGTAGCCTAGTGCCTACAGCCTGTTCACTCTAGCTTTGCAAAAATTTACAGCCCCTTGCTCCTTATTGACTGATATATAATGCTGGGAGAAGAGAATACTACAGTTCTTCTGAATTTCAATAGTATTTATTATCTTAGTTAACATTATATTTCATGTAAATATATACATTAATAATGAGACCTTATGATATGATCAAAGTTTCACAAAACTGGAGAGAACAGACTATAGTACAGTACATAATTATGTAAATCCAAATAATGTTATTAGCCTACTGCATTGTATATACTTTTCAATCATGTAGAATAAAAAGAGAAAACAGTTACTGTATTAGTAAAAAAAAACATTTTGATTTAAATCATGATTTTTTTACTCTGATTTAAATCTATTTAAATCACGTGATTTAAATTATTTGATTTAAATCATAACAACCCTAAAAGACATAGATGCACATCAGATCTCTTGCTTGTGTAACTAGAAACTGAGGTTGGTCCATCTTTACCCATTTTCTTAAGCCAAACATTCGAGGACTGAAGCAGACACGTTAGTCCATCTTTACCTGTTTTCATAAGTCAAACATTAGTGGACTGAAGCAAACACTTCCTCCCATTCTGGCAGACTCTCAAGATTTTCTCTTTTCAGGGTACAGTACAGTACCTTCATACAAAATGTCCTCTTTGTTATGAAGATTAACAATACAGCTCCTCCCCGACTTATGACAGGTTTAGGGACCCAAATCCAGGTCTTAAGTCGAAAATGCTTAAATAATACAGCTGCTCCCCGACTTATGACGGGGTTAGGGACCGACATCCAGGTCGTAAGTCGAAATGGTCGTAAGTCGGAAATGCTTAAATAATACATACAAAATCGAAAATGGGGGTTTCTTTTTCTTCACAGCACCACAAAACTCTCACTTTTAAGCTTGCCAGCCATTTTAAAGTGAATTACAGATGAAAGTTTTGTCTGTGTACTGACTTTGGGACTCGAAAATACGTAATTTGACAAAAATTTTGGTATGACTGAGGCAGGTCGTAAGTGCGGGTGGACGTACAGGTAGTTCTGCTATAACGCGATAATTGTGTTCTTGTAAAATATCGTGTTATAGGAAATCGCGTAGTAGAAATAACAGGGCTTATGGAGAAAATAGGGTTAGGTGCAGATTACTCGAAATCGAAAAAATTTAGTAGTTAGCCTAACACAAAGGATAGCACAGTCTAAATAAATGTTACATTCATATCTAATAATGAAATCATACAGTAAATGTAACACTTTATCTTGAAAAAATATGAATGTAACTTGATGGGGGAGAAGGGTGATTTTGAGGTTAATAACATCGAGCTTCTCTTCAAGTGTTATATCCTTTCTTTTACGATCATCACCAGGAATTCTATCACCAGAACGCTTCTTGGAGATATTCTTCTTTACCATATTCACAATTAATACCACAAAATTGAAGAAATAGTAAGCAAAAATCGCGTTATAGCAAACAAGCGTTCGCGTTATACAAATATCGTTCCTAATTCATAAATCGCTTTAGAGCAAATTCGCGTTATCAAAACACGCGTTATAGCAGAACTCACTGTAAGTCAAGTAGGTCGTAAGTCGGGGATGAGCTGTACATAGAAAATCTAAAATGGGTGTCTCTTTTTCTTCTCGGCACCACAAAACTCTCACTTTTAAGCTTGCCACCCATTTTAAAGTGAATTACAAACAAAAATTTTGTCTGTGTACTAACGTTGGGACTCGAAAATACGTAAGCTGACAAAATTTTGGTGCGACTGAGGCAAGTCGGAAGTGCGGGTGGTTGTAAGTCGAGTAGGTCGTAAGTCGGGGAGGAGCTGTATTCTAATCTTTTAATCTACAAGTACTGTACAGGCAGTCCCCGACTTATGACGGGATGAGGGACCCAAATCCAGATAGTAAGTCGAATTGGTTGTACTTGTAAGTCGAAAATGGGAAAATAATACATAGAAAATCTAAAATGGGTGTCTCTTTTTCTTCTCAGCATCACAAAACTCTCACTTTTAAACTTGCCAGCCATTTTAAAGGGAATTACAAATGAAAATTTTATCAGTACACAGCACAATCACTAACGCCGGGACTCGAAAATACGTAATTTGAAAAAATTTTGGTACAACAGCAGCGGTCGTATGTTCGGGTGGTCGTAAGTCGAGAAGTACCTGTACTTGATTTTATAATCCATTCACAAGATTTGTTACCTGGGAAATTGGTTTACAACTCATAAACTTGCTCATTATATAGTATCACCTTGAATCAGAACTATATTAAGAGTTTTTTTTTAAATACTGTACTGTGTCTAAAAATTATTCAAATACCTACAGTATATCATACTTTTTCTGCTACATACTGGACAGTACCTCATGCTCTCATTTTGGAAATTTCTGAAAAATTCATCACCCAGTTTTTGAGGTATACAGCTCTTCACTGTACTACTACCTGTAGTACAGGTACAGTACAGGGAACCCCTCAAATTTGCGGGGGTTAGGTTCTCAAAATGACTGTGAATAACATTTGCGGAACCGGGGGGGTGGGGGGGTTCATTTTTACTTGTGGACAAAGAAATGATGTATATTCCCTTTATGTGTTTATCCTTAGGACAATTATTTCTTTTACCTGTAGTATTGTATATGTACCTGTATGTGTGTGTGTGTGATAAACACACACATACACACAAAACAAATACAAATGTCCCTCGGTTAACAAACGGTTTGATTAACGAAATTTCGGTTTACAAATTAGCTCCCATAAGGATTTTCAGTTCAATTAACGAAATCCTTACGACAAACACCTATTTTTGTGTGCATCAGCTGATCGGCTAGTCCGCCAATACAGTAATTGGTTCTATGTTTACATTCATTTCCAGTGAAGTAAATATCAAGAAAGTTGGTGTCTTGAATATTTCTGCATTTTTTATATAAAAATTATTGGTCATTCTGAAATTTAGTTAACATATTGATAATATAGACAGTACAGGGAGCAGTTTTTGTGTGCCCATCAGCTGATTGAATCATCCAACAAAACTTCTCAGTTTAACTTTGTTTACAGTGGAGTGACCATTGATTTTGCTGGTCTCTTGAACATTTTTTGCATTTTTACATTAAAATTATTAGTCATTCTGAAATTTAGTTCACATATTGATAATATACAGTGCAGAAATTATTAAGAAACATGAAGAAGGCATTAGAAACAATGCCCTCTGTAAAGAATATGGCATGTCATCATCGACTGCCTCTACAATCAGCTGTTTGATATGTAAACAAAGCTGCAGGGAATACGACATACACACCTCAAAGTAAGTTAAAATACAGAATTCTTTTGTTTTTTACTTATTATTATACAGAATACTGTACAGTACAGTACTGTATTTAGTTTATATTTAATGTTTTGTTAATTCTATTACTGGTACAGTATACAGTACTTTGTATATACTTTTTCTGTGAGTTGGAACCAATTACCCAATATCCCATTGAAATAATAGATTCGGTTAACGAACGACTCTGTGGAACCAATTGCGTTCGTTAACCGAGGGACCACTGTAAATAATAATTGGAAAATACTCTCACAAATAATCAGAAACAAATTTATTAAAAATGTGACAGTCTACCCTCAAGTCCGTGCTCTATTAATAAAGTATTGTAATAGAGCACGGACTTGAGGGTAGACTCAAATTTTTAATCAATTTGTTTCTGATTATTTGTGAGAGAATTTTCCAATTACTGTATTATTTATTTGTATGTGTTTTGTGTGTGTGTCTACACACACACACATATTTACAATACAGTTAAAGGAAATTACTGTCTCTAGAAATTCCTGGCTTCCTGTCCCAGCCGCAAAAATGCCGGCAACTATAAAACTACCCGCAGACATTTTTGGGTACATCCAGGGTGTCATCCGTTAATAACCGAGAACCGCGAAGTAAAATTCTGCAAACTTGGGGATCCCCCTGGACTACTGTATTATACTACTGTACCATTGAAATTATCTTTATACAGTAATTAATACTTTATTTCAGAGAACTAAAAGCTGTTATTACACTTTTTATGAAAACATAAATGTAAAAAAAACTTAGCTATGAACAGTATCTTCATGTACAGTAAATATTTAAGACATTTTCTAGGAAATTTACATTTAACACATATAACTAACCTGAGATTCTAGAGGCCTAATAATGGCATCATCTGCATTAAATGGGACACCAAACATTGTATATTCATTGTGTATAGGCAGTGGTGGCTTGGGAGCTCTTCCTCTTCGTATGTTTTCATCAGTATAGAGATTAATATATTGTGTAGGAGGCAGTGGCCACGTAGATGTTGAGGTGGTTTCAGCTGGTAATGCCATATTTAATGTTCTGAAACAGACAAGTGTTATTTTTAATATTTCCAAAGGAAAATACAGGTAATAATAATAATAATAATTTAGTAACTAAACAGAAAAATGCTCAACATAAAAAATATAATATATCAAACAAAAATGATATACTGATTCATAAATCCCTTTTACTGGTGAAGTAAGACCTTGGTTCTTGGACAGGAACCTCCCCCCGCCATCAGCCTGGGTTAATAATGTTAATCCTTTTGCATAAACCAATCACCCTCTCCTACCTGTTGTGCCCTCTACTAAAATGAGAGTATATATTGGTTATCCCTAAAGACCATAGGTTTTATTAAAGCTGGGAACTACCAGTACCTAACTGAGCACTCACTCATAAAGATGATGGCCCTGCTGTCTAAATATTTGTGAGGAAACTTAAACAAATCTAAGCTGAGGCAAACAGTCCAGTACAGTACTGTACTCGAATATACAGTGGTCCCGAGGTTAACGAACCATTCGATTAACGAAATTTTGGTTAACGAATTAGTTCCCATAAGGATTTTCAGTTTGATTAACGAATATAACTTCGATTAACAAAATTCTTACAACAAACACGTTTTGTTGTGCGCATCAGCTGATCGGCCAGTCCGCCAATACAGTAATCAGTTCTATGTTTACATTCGTTTCCAGTGGAGTCAATATCAAGAAAGTTGGTCTCTTGAATATTTCTGCATTTTTTACATCAAAATTATTGGTCATTCTGAAATTTAGTCAACATATTGATAATATACCGTATTTCTCGGCGTATAAGCCGACCCCCCAAATATTTAGCTGAAATATCAGTTCTAGGCTGATGTCGTGTATAAGCCGATCCCCAAACTCCGACTCATTATGAGCATTACCGTTACGAGCAGTTTGACGTTCGATACTGCACCGACTCACCTTCATAGTCGACCTCTTATCTGTTTACCACATTCTCTCCACTTGGCATTTTCCATATCTATGAGGTGGTTGTCTTTAAACCTTATGGTAAAACGGCCCCACTCGCAAAACGAATGAAATACAACGCATCGTTCAAGTTAAAAGTTGTAAGATTTGCAAAGGCATCAAACAGCTCTGCAGCTGCAAGAAAATTCGGCGTTAATGAGAAGCAGGTTCGAGAGTGGAAGGTTGAAGAAAAGTTAATAGACATCCCCAGAACAAAATGTGCCCCGAGAAGAGGTAAACAACAGTCACCAGAACTGGAGGAGAAATTATTCGAGTGGGTCAACGAGAACCGAGAGTGTGGATACGTTATCACCAGGAAGATGACAATGAAGCTGAAGCCACAGCCGAGTTGGAGGACTGGGATTCACCGGAAGGAACCACTAGTTCAGAGGAAGATTTTGAAGGATTCTAAATTATTTCAATTCTATATTGTATTTTAACATTTTTACTGATGTCTTAAATAAAGAATTTTTATTTCAACACTTTCTTTTACACTAATGTCCTTGGGGTGAATAATAGCTGATCAAGCCACCACATCAGTAATCATAAACAACAGTCGTGTCATGTCGCTGTTGTAGTACCCTGTACAGGTATTTCTATTATTTTAGTATTTTAGGCCATTTCAGTTCATGTCTTTATACAGTATTACCCCGCTTTACACGGTGTCACGCGATTTCTCATTTACGCGGTACCTTGCCAGAACCAGACTTTCACTTTCCGCGGTGCATCTACTCATATACGCGGTGAAGTATAATTTTTTTTTTATTATTTAGCTCATAAAATTCATACAAATTACCCGGCCAGAATATAATTTACATTGCTGGAATTCTTACAATATGATGATCATTTTGAATATAAACATCATGGATTTTGCATTAGACATAAAAATTTTAGATCTAATGTAATAATTTGGTTTACACAAAGCAAATATTTTATCCTTTGTGCAGAATATATGAAGTTCACATTCAAAATATTCCCTGACCTGCAAGGAATCCAGAAATGTCAATTATATTATCCTAACTTTAGTCTGAGGTATTATTTATTACTAAACGTTAAAATCTAGAGTTTTCACCCAAACATTAATCAGAGAGGTAGGAGCTAGTGAGCTGGGAAGAGGGGATTTGAGTCCATTATTTAAATGGACATTAACCTGGCGACTGTATTTCTCTTAAATATTAATTGTGTGAGCATACCATCATAAAATTTAGATGTTATTTTTACTACAACATAGGTATTGTGTCGGAAAAAGTGGAGTTTGGGGGTCGGGCCAGTCTCTGTTGGAATTAATCCCATATGTTCTGTTGTTCACTTTACACGGTTTTCACTTTTCGGGGTACCCTGTGGGTTCAATTGACCTCATAAATCGGGGCACTACTGTAATAACAAAGTTGTATTTCAAAGTTGTTTTATATATGGGTTCTCAGAAAGAGAATAACAACTGATTGGGCAGTCACATTGAAGTTTGTGAGTAGTAAATAGGGTGTCTCGCTGCTATGCACCAGAAATTTTTAAGGTTCATGATCTAGATCTGTTGTATAAGCCGACCCCATGAATTTTGGGGGGCTTGCAACCTCGGCTTATACGCCGAGAAATATGGTATACAGTACAGGGAACAGTTTTTGTGCGTCAATCAGCTGATTGAATCACCCAACAACGCTTCTCAGTTTAACTTTGTTTACAGTGAGTGAACATCCAGTTTGTTGGTCTCTTGAATATTTTTGCATTTTTACATTAAAATTATTGGTCATTCTGAAATTTAGTTAACATATTGATAATATACAGTGCAGAAATTATTATGAAACACGAAGGCATTAGAACCAATGCACTCTGTAAAGAATATGGCATGTCATCATCGACTGCCTCTACAATCAGCTGTTTGATATGTAAACAAAGCTGCTGGGAATACGACATACACACCTCAAAATAAGTTAAAATACAGTACAGTATTCTATTGTTTTTTGTTATTATTGTACAGTATACTGTACAGTACAGTACTGTATTTAGTTTATATTTAATGTTTTGTTAATTCTATTACCGGTATACAGTACTTTGTATGTATACTTTTTCTGTGAGTTGGAACCAATTACCCATTGAAATAATAGATTCGGTTAACAAACGACCCTGTGGAACCAATTGTGTTCGTTAGCCGAGGGACCACTGTACAAACGTGTAGGAAGCAGGAGGGATCTGAACTGTCTGACTTTGGGTTGTGCCAGAAAAGGGATTTTAGAATCAATCCTTCATTTATGACTAATTACTCTCAAGCCACAAGGCTCTGAAACTATATCCAAAAAAGGCATTTCTCACGACCAGGATTAACCACTGGAAAATGGCAATGAGCCCAAAACCAACCATAATGTAAGTCTAGCTCAAAATTCTGATGTAGCATTGCTTAGAAATGTTTAACTCCAAAAAATTCCAGACATTAAAAGAGAAGATAAATCATCCTGAGGAATAAAGTACAGCAGTAAATATACTGTATCACAGAATTACTGATTCTACTAAACATACAGTACAGTACTGTACCGCATATACTGTAAGGTCTTGCCACACGTTGCCTTTCATGTCCCAGAAACTTAAGAAGTCTTGGAATAAATAAATCAAAGGCTTACATTTAAGAGGTAAGAGCTACAATGAAAAGTAATCCCATAATGTAAATGAAATAACCTTAGACTCATTATGAAATCTAAAAATCCTTGAAAATTAATCCTCCAATATGAAAAAAAAAAGCCCCCTTAACAGAGATTACCTCAATTCTCATCTTCTCTAAGACTGACTGACTCTCCCATTACCTCCACTCAAGGAAGAAGCTGCAGATTTATGTTGTATATTTGCCAAAACTTCAAAGCCATTACAGTACCGTACATCCAAAATAAACTGGCCCATAGAAGCAGCAACCAGCTCACTCACATTTACTGTACTGTACTTATATCAACAAATTATATAAATAAAATAAAGTACTGTGAGCATAGCACAGCACAACCTAAGTTGACATGATACATGGTGTACCTATACTGTACAGTTCTACAGGAATAAAGCTAGGAGTGAAAACCTCATTCCAATGTAAAATTGTATAATAAAACTAATACTGTACTGTACAATAGTAACAAGAGATATTTACTGTAATAAATTAAAATGTGTTATAAGCACCAAATCATGCAATACACTGAAAGGATGATGAAGAATCACGCCATACCAACATTCAAATCTACAGAAATTAGTGGTTTTTAACGAAGCACTGTAATACCTGTACCCCGGTTTACATTCGGGGTGCATCCCTGAAAAGTGTGGCAGTTACTGAAACAATGTAAATCAAAGCCATTTTTCCTATAAGAATTAATGGGATAAGGAGGGATGAGTTCCTAACATTTTTATGCTGCTTCTTCATCACAAATACAGCCTTGTTACTTAAAACATGCTTAGGAGGCATGATGCTTAAGGATAATTTCAAGATAAACTTCCAAAGCCACAATGATCTGAGAAATGTAATCGGCACACCACAAAAGATAAACTAAGAAAATGGAGGCTTTGGTGAAGATGTGTGTTAATGCATGCAACTTCATCTGAGATGTACCCACAATGTTCCATTAAATTACTAAAAATACTGTACTCAACAGTAATGTACAGCAGTTAACTTTAACACAAATTATAAAACCACAAAAATACTGGATTTATAGTCGGAGTCAAAAGTCTTGAACACTTGACAGTATTTGGCAGGCAAGTACCCAAAGATCTTAGGTATAAGGAGAGTTTTATCCCATTTTGTGGTTCAGGCATAATATGTGATGACAAGTAGTATTAAGTACAGTATCAGTATATCCCAATGATATATATGTATAACTCAGAAGTACAGTAGATGCCAGATATTGCTAAGTGTTCAAGACTTTTGACCCCAATTGGACAGGAGTATTATATACTGTACTACAGTATTGTACTCTACAGTACGTATATACATGACACTAAGTAGTCCATGCAGTTAGATGGTTCATGAAATGAAAGGATAGGTGGCTCGGGAGGCGGATACAAAAACAACCGATGCTGTCAACAATATAGGTACAGTACGGGTTACACAGATTGTAAATGAGGTAGTACTGTACTGTAGTATAAACTAAGTGATGACTTAACAGTACCGTACAGTGCTGTATTTGCAAAATGATGGAAAACAGGTTACGTACTGTACTGTATCATTATATTTACCTGTTCCATGAATACATTATCAAAACTGTTTCTCAACTACTGTATAATACTATGATAAAACATTAGGGATTTCTTGATTGTAGAAATAAGCTTAAGTAGTCAAGTACAGTACTAATCAGCTTACCCTATATTTTGCTAGATTTTGATCATAACAAATGCAGAACCCAGTAAAACTTACCTCTCTAGGATCACAGCAGGTAGGCCACTGCCTCCATGTGCTCCATCAAATTGAAACAATCCATCATTGAACTACAGTATGTTTGATTTTATGAGAAATAGGCTAGACTTTGATGAGGCTCGTTGGTCCATTCCAGCTAAAATCATTGATAGTGATAGTTTGTCTAAATTTGACAAGGGGTAGCAGCAGTGGCACAATTGCAACAAATCTTAAGGAAAAATTTGTCCAGAATTTGTATAAATCTTCACTTGAATGATCATAAATGCAGAAGTTTTGGCATTTAATTGCACTTCCCTTCTATAGCCTACGGAACACGAGCTAAATCAAGCTAGTTTTCAAAATACAACACAGCACAGTACAGGTGTCTGAGACAGGCTGTGCAGATAACATTTACTTGTCCAGGGCAAATGACTTTTGAAATTTACTTGCCTGGATATACTGTATTAATTATTTGCCCTTGGCTGGATATTTTTTACTGGAAAAGTTAAACAAATACTTTAAAACATTCAAATTTATTGTGTGTATCAACTCACAGAACACTTGTGTCTGTCTAAATGGTGATAGTGGCAATAACCCTTGTCACATGATGTTATAACTCCTATCACCTCACCTCTGCATGGAGCGATCACCAACCCTAACTACCACCTCCCCCCCCCAATAATCACTTGGCAGGCACTCTATGTGATGTCATAACTCCTGTCACCCCACGTCTACAGCCTATCAGCTTGATGGTTCTTTTGAAATGCTAACAACTTGACACCAACTGACCAGGCTAGAGGCTTAATGTAAAGATAAATTGCCCGTTACCTGCCCCTGACAAAGTCGCTTAGCCTTGTACACCGCTAGTAAGTGGCCATTGACAAACCTTCCCAGTTAAACATGTACAGTGAGGTAGGGCCCACACAGCACCAGACAAATTCCCATCTAGCTATGGTATTTTCTACTAAAAATAATAGCTTATCCCCAGGCAAGTGCTGGGCACATGGACGTGAAAAATCACTTGCCCGGCCCCTAGTCTGGGCACGTCCAGGGTGCCAAGCGCTGCTGATCTGCACAGCCTGATTCGAGTCAAAACATGAATTCAGCATTACCTTATCCTCAGAGCCAACCAAACCTAACCTAATGCTCTGAACAATATATTAGCCTTGATTGGTTAGTTTTGCCTAATTTAAAAGAAATAATCTAAAGAAAAATTTTCTTTACTGGTTAACCCAGACCCGTGTTCCAGAATATTAGCCAAAATTTTTACTTAAACATTTGGCGTAGATAATGTAAACCTAGTGAGGGAGCACAGAAAAGAGAAATGTGAATCCACTTGTATTGTACACCAAGTTTGACATGTGTATGAGAGAGGTGCAAGAGATGTTTCACATACATTCAGTTTGATTCCGTTTATATTTTACAGATTATAATTTAAGAAAATTGTTTTATTTATCACTCAATGGTTCGTTTCAGTTAAAATCAGATGTAGTTCAGTGTTAAGTAAATTAAAAGTCGTTTTTTCCCCACTCCTCCACCAGACTTGCATTTCATGCATTAACACATGTGTTAATAAAAACCCTGATTTTTTTTAAATGCCAGTGTAATAGACACCTTCACTAACATGACTGTTATATATACAGTATATATATATACAGTATATATATATACAGTATATATATATATATATATATATATATATATATATATATATATATATATATATATATATATATATATATATATATATATATATATATATATATATACAGTATATATACTCTCTTCACCTCTTGTGTGCCTGAACCAGCAAGTTGTGAACAAGTCACAATGAAACGTAAATGCTTTCTTACCGCATGAAAAGACCATAAAGTGTAGCTACGATAATATAAATTTCTAGTAAAATCAGTTTTACGATTTCTTACCTCCTAAGCACAACCCTACAGCCACAACACCCAACCTTAACACTGCCATGACTCCTTGTTCTTAAGTTTGACTTTACTCTTGTAGATATGAACATACAGTACAGGTATTGCAAAAAATGAGGTAAAGATTTGGAAAAGGTCAACCACACAACTCTATATTGATTTGTATATAGGGATATAGAGAAAATATCTCTGATGGTGAAATGTCCTGAAGTTGTTGGTTCTGGAACACACATGAAGTAAACAATTACCTTCTCAGTTTCTTCTGATTTTGTCTTCCTATTTCTTTCAGTTCCTACCCGTTACTGAACTTCTTATATATAAAGTTTGTTTTCAACTTAATAACAATATATAGTAATGTATTTCTTCTGGAATTTTACCTTACTGAGATATGAAATCATAAACGGTAATGTTTGAGAACAGCACTACCACTTGAAGGAGTTGTTCGATTTCGTTATTTTTTTTCCATAGATGTTTTTATCAGTAAAGTAAGTATTTTAAAAAGAGTCCCCCATCTAGGAAGCTACGTAAGGTTAGGTAGGTTTCTTTGGTTGGTTAGGTCAGGTTCTAGTAAACGTTTCCTCTTTTAAAATACTATAATAAGGTAAAGGTGTAGAAGAGGGTGACCACCAGAAGGAAATGTCCGAATTGGTTGAAACTTTTTCTACACACTAATATCATAATATTAAACACAAAAAATGGAAATAAAAATGCATAGAACCTGACCTAACATTACCCAACCTATGGGTTTGTTAGGTCAGGTTCTATTAGGTAATATACATTATCATATTAATTTGTGTTAAACAACTTACCTTAATATTGGGGTTGATATACATCAGCAATGGCAAGGAGTAATACGTGGAATCTTTCACCATCATTTAGGAAACGTTTCTTGAAGAGGAATTCAGTGAGGTAAACAAAAATGGCGCCGGGAGGAGAAATGTGAAGCGGGAGAGTAAATAAAAAGTTTGTCAGGTTCTATTATGTTCTATGCATTGTTGTTCCCATTCCAGTGTTTAATATAATGTTAGGTAATTATATAGGACTAACCCGCGGGCGAAATTGATTGAAAATAATTGTAAAAAAGCCGGATTTTCACTGTTATATTATAGTGGACACTGTTGTAGTTTGTGGAAATATGCTAAAAAACGGATATTTTTTAAAATAAACACTACTTACCATTTGTGGTTATGAAGAACAGACCTAACCAACCAAACCAAACAATCCTACCTAACCTAACCTAACTTCCGCGGTATATTAAACAGAAAGAACTTACTATGATATGGTGAAATTTGAGGCATTTCTGGACGTGAGATGATATGGTTGCATCGACGCTATGTAGTACAGCGGGTTAGTCCTATATATTAACCTAATGTTATTAGCATTGTAAAAAAAATAAAAATAAAAATAACCAATGCATATAACCTAACAAAACCTGACCTAACATACCCAACCGGGTCCGACTAATTACCCAAATGTAGCCAAATGTAGCCAAATATAGCCGGAATGAAGTCAAATAATGGTCCTAAATGAGTAAATCGGACTGCCAATCACTTCTCGACTAGTATTTGGTGTCAGAGTCACAAAAAATTGGAAAACTCACTTTAATCTGAGTTAATAGATCGCGTGCATGTACCGACGGAGCGAGGAATTACCCAAATGTACCCAAATGCAGTCGCAATGAAGTCAAATAATGGTCCTAGATGAATAAATCGGACTGCCATTCACTTCTCGACTAGTATTTGGTGTCACAAAGTCACAAAAAATTGGTAAACTTAATTTAATCTGAGTTAATAGATCGAGTGCATGTACCTAACCTAACCTAACCTCGACTAGTATTTGGTGTCACGAAGTCAAAAAAAATTGGTAAACTTAATTTAATCTGAGTTAATAGATCAAGTGCATGTACCTAACCTAATCTATTCTATTCTATTCTAATCTAATCTAATCTAACCTAACTTAACCTAACCTAACCTCACACAACACAACTCAGATTAAATTAAGTTTACCAATGTTTTTTTTACTTTATGACACCAAATAATAATCGAGAAGTGATTCACAGCCCGAATTACGCTTGTACGACCATCATTTGACTTCATTGCGGGTACATTTGGGTACATTTGGGTAATTTAGGTAATTCCTCGCTCCGTTGGTACATGCACGCGATCTATTAACTCAGATTAAAGTAAGTTTTCCAATTTTTTGTGACTTTCTGACACCAAATAGTAGTCGAGAAGTGATTGGCAGTCCGATTTACTCATCTAGGACCATTATTTGACTTCATTCCGGCTATATTTGTGTACATTTGAGTAATTAGTCGGACCGTACCCAACCTATGGGTATGTTAGGTCAGGTTCTATGCATTTTCATTTCCAATTTTGTGTTTAATATCATGATATTAGTGTGTAGAAAAAGTTTCAACCAATTCGGACAATTCCTTCTGGTGGTCACCCTCTTCTACACCTTTACCCTATAATAAGAACATCAATGGAAAAAATTAATGAAATCTAACAACATCTTCTGGTGGTAGCTCAAACATTACCTCATTAACTAAGTTAGATTTGGGGATCAATCTGGTTGAGAAACCAATATGGTTAACGCTATGCAAATCTGTTACAATGAAATATTCCGACACGAGTGCTTACCAAGTGTTCCTCTAACCCTAACATTTTTACTTTTTCTTTTTTTACTTTTATCCTCTTCGCCACTGATCGGCTCGCTAGCGAGCCGATCAGTGGCGAAGAGGATAAAAGTAAAAAAAGAAAAAGTAAAAATGTTAGGGTTAGAGGAACACTTGGTAAGCACTCGTGTCGGAATATTTCATTGTAACAGATTTGTCCCAAAGTAATAAGGCTTAATGAGAACAAATGCAAGTGCAATGCAATTTCTTTGTTATCATGTAACAGACTGCTGCATCCAAGTATACTTTTTTTCAAATATGTTCTTACATCGATATGTAAATACAGTAAAGAAATAACAAAATCGAATTTCAAAAACAGTGTTATAAATACATACCAGGAACACAGATATCCTGGAAGACCTTTCGTCTCAGGTGTAATAAGTCAGTAGTCCATTCATATAGAGAAGCAACACCTCCCACCCAGCACCAGCACTGAGTCGACAACAACAAGTCTGGCTGATATAAGTTTGTGAGCTCACTGTCTCTGGTGTCGGGACCTTTTGATCAGAATCTCTCCCGCCGCGATACTGTGAGCAACATGTAATGGTAGAAGGATCCAGTATCTATTATGAGAATCCATGACTCAAGGTTTAGGCTCTTATGCTACCGGCGCGACTAATAGAGTAAAACTTAAATTTACACGTATAAATGCGTCTTATATTACACAGTTTTTTTTTATATGGTTAAAATCATATGTAAAATATTAATATAATTTTATGTAAACTCTAAGAAAAAGAATTAGTTGATTGCTTTAAAGGGAATTAAAAAACCCTCCCGGCCTAGCTGGCAGCCACCCCCAGAGACTCTCGGTTATTTCCGCCAGTCTAAATTGCGACAAGTGAAGTGGGAGAGGTGAAAATTGACAGTAGATCCAAATATGAAATTAGTGTCAAGTTGATTGCTTCCTATTATGGTACAGTTCTTGTATTAGTGAAAATAAGCAATCATATAGTAAGTTTGTCAAGTTTTTAAAGGTATTCTTTGATATATATGTGTTTTATGTCCAGTTTATAGGGATGATTCCAGACGTGAGTGGTTATTGAATCCACTAATCAACAGGTTGTCGGTGATTTGCTTGAATTGATTTGTAGATTCTTTTGAGAGAATATATCATATGTCATGAATCAAAAATTCAATTCAATATCAAAAGGTTGGAAGCCGAAATTTTGTAGTGAGCATTACCCTTAAGGATTTGCATATCAAGCCACGGACGAGGACCTATCTCCTTTAAATTGTTTAACTTATTTTCAACAATAACTCATTGTTTTAGTGTGCATATATATCAGGGTTCTTGTCAACGTAAGTCGGCACTAAATTTTCTTAGGTGTCACCCAGCTTACAGATGTGTCATCTCATGCCTCACACATGTTCTGGACTTGATCAAATGTGAAAGTTTGTTTTTATACAACAAACTTTACATTTTCTGAATTATTTTCATTGTCTAGTTATTCAAATTATTATTTATTTTAAGGCTTAGAAAAAATAAAAATAAATTCACAAATTAGAACAGTTATTGACTCACTGACTGCCCAGACCTCCTCTGACAGTCAAATGAGTTTTTATGAACTTTTATCTGTGATCAGGTGATGGGGTACTGAGTTACTGATGACCTGTAGTCCATGACCCATTAATGGGGTACTGAGTTACTGGTGACCTGCAGTCATGACCGAGTAATGAGGTACTGAGTTACTGATGACCCAGTAATGGGGTACTGAGTTACTGATGACCCAGTAATGGGGCACTGAGTTACTGATGACCCAGTAATGGGGCACTGAGCTATTGATGATCTGCAGTCCATGACCCAGTAATGGGGTACTGAGTTACTGATGACCCAGTAATGGGGTGCTGAGTTACTGATGACCCAGTAATGGGGTACTGAGTTACTGATGACCCAGTAATGGGGTACTGAGTTACTGATGACCCAGTAATGGGGCACTGAGTTACTGATGACCCAGTAATGGGCTACTAAGTTACTGATGACCCAGTAATGGGGTGCTGAGTTATTGGTGACCTGCAGTCCATGACCCAGTAATGGGGTACTGAGCTATTGGTGACCTGCAGTCCATGACCCAGTAATGGGGTACTGAGCTATTGGTGACCTACAGTCCATGACCCAGTTATGGGGTACTGAGTTACTGATGACCCAGTAATGGGGTACTGAGCTATTGGTGACCTGCAGTCCATGACCCAGTCTGAGCTATGGTGACCACAGTCCATGACCCAGTTATGGGGTACTGAGCTATTGGTGACCTACAGTCCATGACCCAGTTATGGGGTACTGAGTTACTGATGACCCAGTAATGGGGTACTGAGCTATTGGTGACCTGCAGTCCATGACCCAGTTATGGGGTACTGAGTTACTGATGACCCAGTAATGGGGTACTGAGCTATTGGTGACCTGCAGGCCATGACCCAGTAATGGGGTACTGAGCTATTGGTGACCTGCAGTCCATGACCCAGTAATGGGGTACTGAGCTATTGGTGACCTGCAATCCATGACCCAGTAATGGGGTACTGGGTTACTGATGACCCAGTAATGGGGCACTGAGTTACTAATGACCCAGTAATGGGGTACTGATTTACTGATGACCCAATAATGGGGTACTGATTTACTGATGACCCAATAATGGGGTACTGAGTTATTGGTGACCCAGTAATGGGGTACTGATTTACTGATGACCCAATAATGGGGTACTGAGTTATTGGTGACCCAGTAATGGGGTACTGAGTTACTGATGACCCAATAATGGGGTACTGAGTTACTGATGACCCAGTAATGGGGTACTGAGTTACTGATGACCCAGTAATGGGGTGCTGAGTTACTGATGACCCAGTAATGGGGTACTGAGTTATTAGTGACCTGCAGTCCATGACCCAGTAATGGGGTGCTGAGTTACTGATGACCCAGTAATGGGGTACTGAGTTACTGATGACCCAGTCATGCGGGTACTGAGTGACTGATTACTGATGACCCAGTAATGGGGTACTGAGTTACTGATGACCCAGTAATGGGGTACTGAGTTACTGATGACCCAGTAATGGGGTACTGATTTACTGATGACCCAATAATGGGGTACTGAGTTATTGGTGACATGCAGTCCATGACCCAATGTGTGGGGTGCTGAGTTATGGTGACCTGCGGTCACTGACAGCCCAGTAATGGGGTACTGAGCTGTTGGTGACCTGCAGTCCATGACCCAGTTATGGGGTACTGAGTTACTGATGACCCGTAATGGGGTACTGAGCTATTGGTGACCTGTAGTCCATGACCCAGTTATGGGGTACTGAGTTACGGATGACCCAGTAATGGGGTACTGAGCTATTGGTGACCTGCAGTCCATGACCCAGTAATGGGGTACTGAGCTATTGGTGACCTGCAGTCCATGACCCAGTAATGGGGCACTGAGTTACTGATGACCCAGTAATGGGGCACTGAGTTACTAATGACCCAGTAATGGGGTACTGAGTTACTGATGACCCAGTAATGGGGTACTGAGTTACTGATGACCCAGTAATGGGGCACTGAGTTACTAATGACCCAGTAATGGGGTACTGAGTTACTGATGACCCAGTAATGGGGCGCTGAGTTACTAATGACCCAGTAATGGGGTACTGAGTTACTAATGACAGTAATGGGGTACTGAGTTACTGATGACCCAATGGGGTGCTGAGTTGATGACCCAGTAATGGGGTACACTGAGTTATTGGTGACCTGCAGTCCATGGTGATCCAGTAATAGGGTACTGAGTTATTGGTGACCTGCAGTCCATGATCAGTAATGGGGTACTGAGTTACTGATGACAGTAATGGGGTACTAGGTTACTGATGACCCAGTAATGGGGTACTGATTACTGATGACCCAATATTAGGGTACTGAATTACTGATGACCCAGTAATGGGGTACTGAGTTATTGGTGACCTGCAGTCCATGACAGTAATGGGGTGCTGAGTTACTGATGACCCCAGTAATGGGGTACTGATTTACTGATGACCCAGTAATGGGGTACTGAGTTATTGGTGACTTGCAGTCCATGACCCAGTAATGGGGTGCTGAGTTACTGATGACCCAGTAATGGGGTACTGATTTACTGATGACCCAGTAATGGGGTACTGAGTTATTGGTGACTTGCAGTCCATGACCCAGTAATGGGGTGCTGAGTTACTGATGACCCAGTAATGGGGTACTGAGTTACTGATGACCCAGTAATGGGGTACTGAGTTATTGGTGACCTGCAGTCCATGACCCAGTAATGGGGTACTGAGTTATTGATGACCTGCAGTCCATGACCCAGTAATGGGGTACTGAGCTATTGGTGACCTACAGTCCATGACCCAGTAATGGGGTACTGAGTTATTGATGACCTGCAGTCCATGACTCAAATGATGGCAAATAGTTTTGAAATGGCTCTGCGCCGTGCACACAGCCCTGGGTGCCTTGTCTCCCGGCTTTACACATATCCCTGTGTACACTGCCACTTTGCACCCATCGCTGTATACAAAGTTACAGTACAGGGTATTTAGCACTAGCTATTTGCAGTTCTTATTATCCAGCATAGGGGGCTCTTGCTATCCAAGTCATCGATATCTGTGGTTTTGCATTCATGTGGCCAAATTATTTGTTAAGCTGTACTACTGTAAGTAAAAACTACCCGCAGTTTTGAAGGATGATATCCGTGGAGTGCGGAAGCGTCAGCAGAGAATGTTTAAAATCTCCCCCATACCCATGGTGTGCGCGTGTTCTCAGTCTTTTGCCTAACTTCCCACAGTTTTTTTTATTGTTTTTTGGGGCATTCTTGAAGAATCATTGCTATTGTTTTAGCCATGAGTTCAAAGCATATTGGTAGTGCTAAACTAAATGCCAACCTTAAAAGGAAGCATAGAAGTTATGAACTGAATGTGATATTAACTTGATGTTTATTTGTCAAAAGAAAATTTGTGAGCATGAGATAGATATCTCACATGCTCTTCAGATTCCTGAGTATTTATTTATTTTATTTTTATTTTATTTTTTTTTTACGGGGATTAGCCCCTCCAGGCACCGGTCACTGACCCACATCGGGGCCCAGGGGGCGAAAGTGTAATAATGATAATTCATAGTAAATAAAATTTATAATAAAAAGGAAAATAAATTATTAATGGTAATAATAATAATAACAACACTGTGATAATGATAATAATAATAATAATAATAATAATAATAATAATAATAAATAAATGAATGAAAAAAATCAACAGTGAGAAACGCTGTATGTATGTTGTGTTGTCATGTAAGAGAACAATTGAGACCCTACAATTGTGTGTAAATGAGGCAGAAAGTCAGATCAGCAACCTGGGACTTGGTCACAATTTTCGTGATGCCATTTGGCAGCAGGGTCCACCATTAGACAACACATTACGCTTCCAATATCTTCCCAGGAGGTAGTAACTCCCTGTTTGGTAGCTGCCTACTACGTACTGCTAAAGGGTATAATTATAATCCATTTGGCTGCCATTTATTGTACTATCATATGGTCCAATTCAAACCCCATTCCCATTTTTCTTGTGGCCA